GAAAATTCTTATATGGCTCATTAATTCCCTGTTCCATTTCTGCATGCACTACTGATACTAAGGTGACCTTTCACAAATCAAGTTACATATACAGCAGAGAGCCGTCCCTTCTTTCTACTGGAGAAATTTCATTTTTTAGGGAAACATTACTAACTGAAAAAATAAGCTTTCAGCTACTTTCATGGCTTAGACTCAATAAAGGATAAGGATAGGGTATTTATCCCATGAGTGAACACCCTGAAGCAGTTAAATGTGGTTGGCTTAAAGGAGATCTAAGAATCTCTGTTTGACAGAGTGGCCACTTTCCAAATGAGAAATCAATGACTCTGTATTCTGGGCAAAGAAAAGCCAGGATGGTTTATGACTTGTTCTACATATACTGCAGATCCAGCCAAGCTCTACATTACACACAGTTGAAGACAATGAGTAACATCCCGCGTCCAGAGGCCCTCAGCAGCATAAGGAACATCCTCACAGGACTCTGTACTGACAGTGTCTTGCTAGACTTTGGAATTCAGCCTGTAGAAAGCCAAATATATGTAGCAGGAAAAAGGGAAGAAAACAACGGGGGGTGGAGAGGTTGTTCTGTGCCTGGGATAGCCAGCCAAGTAAATACAAGTTGGTTTTGCTTCTGGCAAAGAGATTTGCAGAAAACATGCAACGGTTAAAAGGTAATCCTGCCTGCAGGACTAGCACATATCTTCATAACACCTGTAGTATTCTGAACAAACTAAAGTTCTATTTAACTGTCAAAAGCAATACCTATTTATTTAATCATTATTTAAAAAAAAAACCCAAAAAACCACAAATAAACAAAAACACCAAAAACACCCTCCAAAACACCAAAAAAACCTGGAGTGGAGGCTTTATGTTATTTGTTATGTCACTGCTACAACCACAGAGGAGCAGAGAGGTGGTGACATATATTCTGAGGGTTTGATCATGATGTTCAAACAGAACAAAAAAACAAAAAAGAGAGTGCTGAAAGTGTTAAATTATAACTCAAAAAACACAGGCACAGAAATTAGTCATATTTTTCCCTAGCATTTTGTCACGTTGTTTACAGCAAGATGAATAAAATTATTTACCTCAATTACTCAGGCTCTTAAGAAAGACATGTTGTTGTGGTTTGGTTTTTTTTTAAAAAAAAACCAACAAAAAAAACACATCAAAGCAAACAAAAATAACAAAAAACCCCAAACCTCTTGCATTCTTAAGATTTTTTTCTCTACTTATATACTCAGGCGGTGGTTTATCCTTTCAGGTTGAGCTGACAGTCTTTGAGAACTCATACTCCCATTTATAATGCTTTTGGTGAACTCACACTGGTGTACCAAACCCTACTTCGCTCCATTCAGCTCCATGTTTCTATGAGCAAATAACAGCCTGTAGGGATTCAGCACATCAGCTGCTTAAAAGATAAACCTACCCAGCTTGATGAGAACTCTTCACCACCTTCCTGTTGAGAGAAAACTGTTACACATTTCTAATAAATGAAGCAGGAACTGTCATTTTTTTTTTTGGCAAACTGATAACTAGCTGTAACAGCCGCATTGCCACAAGTTGCTTTTCCAAAGCAATTACCATCAGGCTCCCTGTGGTATGCAGTGTTTAACACATTTCTTCTGTGTTAATGAATGCAAAAGCAGGCAACATCACTATTAGTAATTGCTTTTTATTCGTAGTCCTCATTTTCCAGATAGGTCACATTAAACACAGCCATTAAACAGTAGCGGTTGAGATAATCCATACAATGTATGCTGCTTTTGTTTGGTTTTTGTGTCATTCACCAGTCATTGGTGCAACTTTGAGCCATATGGGGAGACAGGGGCTGATAAATGCGAATGCCAACCTGTGTCACAATTGGGCCAGAGAAGGCAAAAAACCTTAATCAGGTTTCATTCAATTACACTTCAAATCAACAAATCTTGATAGCCAAAACTCCCGCTTGAAATAATGCAATAATAATCACTGCCTGATGTCAAAAGAAATTAAACAATAATGAGTGGGCGTATGTTATGCTTGGCTTCAGACTCCTTGACCTCAGCAATTTCCCTTCCATTGGACAGAAAGCAGCTTGAAAGTTTCTTCAAATGATGCAACTTGCTCCTCAGTGAGCAATGTTTGACTTCTAGGAGTAACTTGATCCGGAAAACCTGTATTCTTAAATGGCAAATCACAGTTCAGGAGAAACTCTTTACTGATAAATACATCAAGGGGAAAAAATAAACAAAGAAAAAAGGTTTGATTTTTGCGTCCCGATTGGATTGGCCAATTGTTTAAGGAACTCCTAGTTGCTGGCTTTCATTACTAAAAAAAAATAGAAAATATATAGAATGTCTTATTCACTATTCACAGTGTACAGTACAATTTTATTAGTTACTTGCTTCCCTTAGCTTCATGATTCTCTTTACAATCATGTGGCAGATATTTTCTTTCTATCTTATAAAACATGCATGTAAAGGAATGAGAAAAATAACTCAGAAATTTTATCTTTCATTTCTTCCTCTTTCTCTAGTGGTGATAGTAAAAATACCATGGAGAAAAAGTACTTTTAAAATTCTTTTGTGTGTAGTACTTCCTTCGTGCAGTCAATTTTGACTGAACCAGCAAACTTTGCATTGTATAAGCTCTTCTGGTTTATTGGTTCATTTTATATCCGTCCTAAGTTGTGAAACAGATTTTTTAACCTGTAATATCCTTACTGGAAGCAGTATGCCAGAGACCTACAACACAAGGCAGTTGTCAGCCAAATTAAATAAAAGCAAGATTTTCTAAACTCTTCTATAAAGCTGTGAGTCATGAATCCCGAATTACCTCAGAGTGGTAAATAAATAATCACTACTAAATACAGATAATGTGTTAAACAGCTAAAGCTAGTAAATCACTAGTGACAGAGAGCCTTAAGGTAAATTCCTCTTACATTGGCACAGCCCTTTCTCAGAATGTTGTGGTTTTATGTCTTCAGAAACATACAATGAATTGTACAATTGGTTATTCAGTGTTAAAATCATTTATAAAATACACAAATCTCCATCACTTGACTGCATTTACATACTGGTTTAGATTTTGCTGAATAATGGATCTCACTGGCAGAGCTAAAGACTTGGTGCACAGACACTGAAGTGATGGGCACCACGGAAATACGTATAAGAGACTGATCAAACAATAAGAAATCCTCTCCACTATGGAATTTCAAGCTATCAAGCTATCAAGCAAAACCAGTCTTGGGTCTCCTGGCCAAAAAAAAAATTAAAAATTATATAACACAGACAACACCACATTTTAGATACATAAATTGTCCAAAACATGGAGAGTAGCTTGACAAAACATGTACAAGATCCTTTTTTTTTTTACACGTAATTGTAGACTTCTTTAACAGGAGGAGCTAAAAGCAAACTGTCAAAATGGTTGTCTCCACAAAGACAATTCATTGTAGGACTGACTAGGTAAAATCACCATTTAGCAGCAATCCCAACATCAAAACAGACTGTTGGGTCAGCTTTCTTTCTTGAGCTGATGAAAGCTATGGCTTTTTGGGAATTCAGATCGCCAACCTCTTTTATATATGTTTATATAGTAAAGAATAAATTTTATAAATCCAATACATCATTTTTAAACAATGTGCCATAGTGGTATTTCCAACAGAGTACCTGAAGTATATAAGGGACAAATCCTGAGCTAAACTTCTTATTCTTCTGCTTCTTAATGTTCTGTGCAAGTTCATTTTGAATGTGGGCTAGTTTTTAACTTCATATAAAGGCAATTTTGCTTTTTTTCAAATGCAATAAAAACACCCTTAGAAAAAATAATAAAAGTAGAAACTGTATCCCAATTTATTCTGCAAATACTTTTCAGGACAAGTGAAAACCAAACTAAAAACACCACTCAAACTAAGCAGTGTATATCTCGAACTGCCATAAGCAATTGCACATTCTAAAGAATCAGATGAAAACACTGCCCATGCCACATTGGCACTGCTTTATTTTTCAGCTCTATGAACTTAATAGAAAAACTTTCAAAATGGTGGCATCTCTTAAGAAGTAATCAAATATCCTACATTAACCAGTCTGGCTGCATGAGTTTGGAAGAAAAAAAACAACAAAACCAACGAGGTTCCAGATGTTGGTTCGAGTGTAATTTTTTCTATTAAATGTGGATTTGCAATAAAAGCTTCTACAAGGACTTGCACATAACCGTGACTGATGGATGTATTTGTAGGCCGTTCAGTTAGCTCCATCAGCTCACTCAAACACATTTTGAACAGATTATGTACTGCAGTACTTCGTAGACCATACATTAAACAAGAGACTTTGCTCTGAGGCGCTGCTTCCCACAATCCATGGGGAAAAGGAAGCAGGAAAAAACAAAACTCATAGAGTTCGACAGCTACCGAGGCAACACTTGCCATTTACAATATAAGCCCAAATATTTTTGCAACACAACTATATATTAATTTAATAAAATACACAATATAGCTCTTATACACTCAACAATTTGGCTCATATGCACTGAATCTGCAATAAATCAATAAAAATATGTCATTTGATGTAAACACACTGAATCTTCTTACATTTGCACATTTAAATGGTCATGTGATTTTTTGTGGATGTCTAAGACATTTTCACTTTCCTGAGCTATTTTAGTGTCCACAAATGAATAAAAAAAGTGTTAATAATGTTAGTTTCTTTTGTGTATTACCTTTGAAGGTAATTATTTTTTTCAAACCTTATTTTACTTCAGTTTTTTAAAACTTACTGCTAACTATTTATAGTTTTGTTGGACACTAAAATGCTAAATAGATATTAAAATCTTTTTTTTTTTCCTTTTTATCAAGTGAATTACCTTATGTGTGTGCAGGACAAAATGGACTATATCATTTTACATTTAACCTTAACATGATATGAAGTGTTTTACTAATGATCAGAATATGTTTTGTTGAATAATGATCTGGAATGGGATTTCTTGTTATCTTGTTCTTTTTTTTTTCTTCCATATTTGTGGCAGATAACTTTGTACATAAATGTTTACCACAAATGAATGTTAATGTTTGGTGTCGCTTGGACTACTACAAGAACTCTTTTTAGGACTTTCAGTAGAAGCCTGTGGTGACTGCTGGAAATCCACCACAGATAAGAATTATTCAACCCTGTTTTTCTTGGGGTTTACGCGTAAACAGTAAAGTCAGCATCAGCTATTGAGGACAGTCTTAAAGTATCAGACGTACTTCCATTCCTCCTTACTCACACCTTCCTATCAGATTGTCAAAATGGCACCGTCTTTCCTTCTTTCATTTTGTTCTTAGTGTACTTGACTCTGTCCTAATGAAAGTTTGGCCAAAATGAAACCAGTGTTACCTGTCAAAAAGAAAGAGCAGTGAAAAGAACATACTTGTGGGCACTTCAGATGTTCACTAAAAGCCTTAAAGCAGCATTGGTCTTCATTTCTGTAAATCTGTTACCACCAGGGGATTGAGTTATTTATTTACTTTTAATCAGCAGAAGAGGAACGTAACTGGCAGCCTGTCCTTATTTTCCCCCTCACTTTCTGACGGCCACAGGGTCGTTTCCCCGACAGTCCTGCAAGAGCTTGTCTATTTCTCTCACAACTTCCTCTGCATCCACCGACTCCCTGCCTAGATCCCGGGCTGAACGATCTAACTGCTCCAGAACAGAGTCCATCTCACTCGAGTCTCGGCTCACTCGGGAATGCACATCTGCAAAGGCCCTAGCCATCTGATCTGGTGCAATGAAGGGAGTGTCTTTTGACTGTTTACTAGGCGATAGGTACTGACTGTCAGTTGACAAGTACTGGCTGCTTGCTTCAGCCAAGGCTCCTGATTTCACTTCACAACCATCCAGTGGTCCTTTTGTTGAGGTGCAAGGCTCAATGCATGTCTTGGTTGGGCTGCTCGATGCTGAGGGAACCTCCTGAAGCAGAGGACTCAGGGCACGTTTGGCTTTTAAGTAAGGTTTAACATTGGCAATGAGAATAGTGTGCTCTCTCTTGTCTTTCCCAAATGTACAAAAAGTCTTTTTCCCGGTGGGATTCACAGTTTCGTATGTCTCAGTCTCAACATTAGCTTCAACTGTGGGTACAAAGAGATTTGTGCGATAATCTGCATTCTCAGCCTGACTGGCTGCAGGGAACTGTGGCATCCAACACCTGTCAGAATGACCAAGCACTCTGCATTCATCTGTGCAGTTAACACATTCTTCTTGCTCTGTAAAACAAAGGAGAAAGACAAAAAATCTAATTACAAGGGGATCTCTTTAAACTAATGGATAGGCTATGATCAACACGTGATGGGCTTACTTGACATCTGGTTTCTTAATTATGGAGAAAAAGCAAAAGCTATAATTAAAATATTTCAGAAGGACTGCATAAACCTGTTAGTTGAGACAATAGATTTATTTAACTCTGTTCTCTACATATTAAAGCATTCACACAGCCTGATGGAAGTATAAAGGGGTCATTAGAGAATCATTCTCAGTGGAATTGAGCATCATCTGTAAACTAATCTGCTGTAGAAATCTGTTAGGCTTTGTTCTGTAAAACTCATCCTAGAAAAGAGTGAACAGTACTTAAGGAACTCAAAAGGCATTATCAGGATTAATTTTTTCAAATCAAATAACTGAGCAATGACTGCCTTTCTGGAAATACAAACAGTTCATAAAAATCAGCAAGCTGGCTTTTCATTTTTGTCACTTCCATTTCATATATAATTATTATGTTATGTGACAGTCACAAAATAAAAACATTTTCTTAAAAACCCTACTTTTCCTGCTAACCTAGAATTTTGCATCAGTATGCATTAAATATAAACTTGTCAAAAAGTGCATATTGCAATTTTATTAGACATGAGAATGGATCTTGTAATCAGTTTTCCCCTTTCCTTTTGTTTTGGTGAAAGTAAGTGAAGATGGATTGGCTCAATACATACAATTTGGAAGAATGACAAACTGTGACATACTATTTGAACTGATATTTTTCAGGTAGGATTCCTATATTGTTATTTCTTTCAAAGAATGTAGTTAAATAAGATTTTGTTTTATTCATTGCATTTTTAGAACCTACAGTTTGATACTTTATATTTTACAATTCGAAGAAACTTTCTGCTTTTAAAACCTTAGCTTGTCTGTTATTTTACACTAATAGTGTACATTTGGGCCACTATTTACCACTTTATAATTGCACAAATCACTCTAATACAATGTTAGGGAGAAAAAAAAATTCCAGAAATACCACTTAAAACTGTTTTTTTAGAAAATCACACCTCTAATCCAAGTTGCTTTCTTTTTCTTCTCATTCTCAATACTCTCTAGTCAATACTGATAGAACAAATCCTTTTATCATCTCCAGGTTTCAATCACTTACACACAAGTCCCTAGCTACTAAGAATTTTCTTCCACAAAATGGACAGATGGGTTAAAATATTCATTTTATTTGAGGAATTTTGTATTTTAAAAATGCCTGAGATTCCAATTAGACAAAAAACTATGAGAATACCTTTAAATGTAAACATGAAACACATAGAGAGGCATACATAGCAGGTTTTCATAAAAGTAGAACAAATTTGTTGGCCCAAAGGTAGGAAAAATTTATGTGATTGTCATATTGCTAAATTAGAAAATAAATTCTTGTAATCTTACAATATCGTCATCAGATTCATGGACAGTTTCACTGCAGAATATTGACACGGAAGAAGCACTGAAGATGATCTATGAGAACACAATAGTGTAAATAGCTTTGACTGTTCACTTTTCTAAAGACATGAATAAATGTGACTTAAATTTCAATAAAATTGTGCTACGTCACATTGATCAGTTAAATCAGGGTGTAAGCCATAAAATAAAAGAGAACACTGATTTTTTAGGCAGAGAATGTAGCAGAAAGGCTTTAAATTTAAAATTCATGGAAGTGAGTCAACCTCACCTCTGTTCCTGATAAGATCATGGAACAGATATTTCTGGGAGATATATCAGAACACATGGAAGTCAGTGAAGTGATCAGAGACAGCCAGCATGGCTTCACCAAGAGAAGATTGTGCCTGACTAATCTAGTGGCCTTCTAAGATAGAGTGACTGCATATGTGGACAATAGAACAGCTACAGATGTCATCTGTGAGGATGTCTGTAAGACCTTTGATATGAACCCCCATAACAATCTTGCTGCTAAATTAAAGAGATGTGGGTTTAGTTAATGGACTGTTAGATGGATAAGAAATTGGCTGTGTGGCCATGTGCAATGAATTGCGGTCAATGGCTCAATGTCCAAGTGCAAACCAGTAATGAATGATGTCTCTCAAGGGTTCACACTGAGACCATCATTATTAAATATCTATATCAATGACATAGTGATGACACAGTGGGATTGAGTGCACCCTCGGCAAGGTTGCAGATCACACCAAACTGAGAGGTGTGGTTGACATGCCTGAGTGACAGGATGCCATCCAGAGGGACCACAACAGGCTTGAAGAGTGGTCCATGTGAACCTCATGAAGTTCAACAAGGTCAAGTGCAGGATCCCAAACATAGGTGAGGCAATTACCAGTATCAGTACAGACTGGAGGATGAATAGATTGAAAACAACCCTGTGGAGAAGGATACTGGTGGATGAAAAATTGGACATGTGCCAGAAATGTGTACTTGCAGTCCAGAAAGCCAGCCTTATCCTGGGCTGCATAAACTGAAAGAAGGCAGATTCAGATTGTACTTGTAGAATAAACTTTAATATGATAGTGGTGAGGTACTGGAGCAGCTTTCCCGGAGATGCTGTGGATGCTCCATTGGATGATTTCTACCTCAGGACTTTGAGCAACCTGATCTAGTGAAAGATATTTCTGCACATGGCAGGGGGGTTGGACTAGATGGTCTTTCCAGATCCTTTCCAATCCAAACCATTCTATGATTCTATGAACTCCAATCAGAAGTAAGCTGCATGCCAGTTACTAAAACCACCGTTTAATTGTACACCATGTACAATAAAAATTAGAATTGTCATAATGGCAAGCAAGAGTTAAAGACAATCTCAACAATGGGACTCTAACGCAGGGGCAGAAGTGAGAAGCATGTAAGAAAGAGATTTAAGTTTGTGGTGTTTGACTTTGTTTGAATGCAATAGCATTGGTTTGCATAACCAGAGCGACAACATATGTGGTGGCAATTGCTTAATAAAAAGGAAGACATATAAATAAAGGGCATTGGTATACATCACATTCTACCCATTAATTCATCTCTGCTAAAGTTCTCTGTATCTAATTTTACAGAGCTTCTACGGCTTCAAACAGTTGCTGCTTAAAACAGCCAAGAGAAACTGCTACTCTCTCAAAAAAAAGGAAAATATAAAACTCCACAAATCAAATCAAATCAATATATTTGAAAAAGCACATAGGTGCAAAGGCACTGGAGGGAAAAGTTCCAAGCTTTAGCATGAGACAGGAAGTAGTTACTAGCAGCCAGGTTTGATTATATTTTATCACAGAAACCCAACAGAAAGAAACAAAAATTTCCCCAATCCCACTCTTTTCAGTCTTAATTGTAGAACTTTATATTTTGCAAGTGATTGGTATTAATTAGTTATGTTCTTTTTCTCCTAATACTATAGAATAAATTTCTGGCAAGCTCATTCTCTAGTTTTTAAAGTGAACTTGAGTAGTAGGGAGTAATAGTAGGAATTTTATTTAGGTTTTTCTCTAACCATACCTAATTTTTTTTTCCTCTTCTATAGAATACATGACAATGCTGGATAGAGGTTTTCTGGCACTTTAAAAGTTTTCCCTAAGCAATTAATCAGCTTTCCAACTAACTGTTTTATTTTGTAAATTTATCTATCTTTTGTATAAATTTTTGTGAACAAATTTATTTCTTTTGTAATAAAAGATGAATAAAAAATGTTGCATATAAGCTACCATAAAATGCTCAGAACTGCACAATCAATGGACCAACACTCTGACCAATGATCAGACACTCTTTGCTGCTCTAACTCTTCTCAGTTTTCCATTAAAACAGGACTCCTCTTTGTTCCTTTCTTTCTCATAGGAAAACAAAACAAAACAAAACAAAGCAAAACAGGAAAAAAAAAAGAAGTAACAGTTCTTGTAAAACTTTCAAACCACATGTAATGTGTCAAGACCTCAAAGTGTACTGGGAGACCATCAGTGGACACAGCTGGGAAGATTTCAATACATTATAGCCTACTTTATCAAGCCACAGAAAGACCACATGTAGAAGGTGTTACCTGCCTTTCAGGTAATAGTTCTGTGTTGTACCATCTTAAAATACATTAAACAAATGTGATTCTGTGATATATTTATATATGATTCCTTGCTATCTACATTGACAATGTCTATATACATGTATATGAGATATACAACTGAGAAATTTTATTTTGACACAATTTCATTCAAAAATTTGACTGAAATGTTTGTTTTTTAAAAAATAATTAAATTATACCCTGAATTGAGATTGAAATGAAAAAAAATTTATACTGAAAGATCAGAGCAGTTCTCAGCCCCTGGAAATAAGTTAACTACACTAGGTATTCAGCACTGTGCCAAAAACTATGCTTTGAGATTTTCAAGAATAATTACATTATTTTTTTTTTGTAACCAATTTACATTCTAAGATTTGAAAATCATAGCTCTTATGCATGTGTATATGCATATCCTTGGTATGACAATAACTCTTACATAGTATTTACATTATTCATTATTGCCAATAAAAATACAAAGTTTCCTGGCAATCTCTAAGTAAAAGAGATACATAACATATAGCATGTATATATATGTTATATATATATTGCATGCCAAATCTTCCTTCCACTTCTAATTTTCTGCATTTGCTAAAGTAGTTTTTGCTTGTATTCATATTCACAGTATCGACTAACTTTCCATTTCTGCTCCCTGGGTATCCTAACAGTGACTGAATTAAATACGAAGTCAGAAAAGTAGAAGAAACAAATACTGAATGACCTTGAAGTGAAAACAGCCTGCGTTGCATGAGTTTTGGTGCTCTAGTCTTGAAAATCTGTGTCTTTTCACTCTACTCTTTTATGTCACTTCACAGGAAACAGATTTTAAGTATTGATTATCATGCATTATAAGCTGCCCGTCTCACTATTAGCCTGTAATTTTGACTGATACAGCTAGCAGACAGTGAAAAAAATCGAACAGGCACTTTTGTACCAACAGCAGAAACTATAAACACAGTGTGAACTATCACC